GTTATGTTGAGTCTTCCCAGGCACCTCAACCCCTACTCACATCTTGCGTCTCAATGGGTCACATGATAGAGTGAGGCAAGGTTTCACCATAGTTTCATCCAAAAGCTCTGCTGATAATGACCCACACCTTTTTTTATAACTTGGATCTTGTGATGAGGCACATGATCAATAGTGTGCCTATGATCCTCTTAAGTGGACAACTCCCACTAGAGTTTAAACACCAAAGGAGAAACCTCTTCAAAAAGCTTAATGAGGTCCAGTCGCCGTCTTCCAAAGCTGCTTAGATCGAATAAACGGTAAATGGACTGGTTCTTATTTAACTCAACACAACGTGCCTCATTCACCTGTTCTATATAAGAGCTTTCTATCTAACATGCACACATATTTATATTCTGATGGATGCGTTGAATCCATCAGTCTTCTTCAGTAGTTTATGTAGACTAAAAATGACCATGACAAGCAGAGGACGAATGTCAGCACATCAAAGTCTCTCGGTGGTTTTACTGCTTCCACTCAACTGATATATGAGGAAAAAACACTTTGACTTCCTACTTTTGTTCTGTTTCATTCAAAAAAACAAAACATGTAGGTGTTGTGAAAATTGTAATATTTGATTTTAAAAGAGCAATTCTGATTCAAGATGCACCTGAAGAAGTGAAGCAGTGGTCTGCAGGAAAGGAGTCTCTAAACAGGTATGAACAGATCCCTTCACTCAGCCTGTTTGTTTTATGCAGATGTAAGAGCTACACGAAGTCTTCCCTCTGTGACAGCATGAGTGATGATGTCCATCTTAGCATGTTGCCAACGACTGTGCTGGTTTGACCCCTCCTCTCCCTGCAGGGTGGAGCCTGATGGCGTCCGACGGGTGAGCTCGGATCTGAAGAAGTGTACGTTTGATTTTATGATGATTCTTGGAAACAAATCCAACCGTCTTTAAACTACTGTGTCGCTCATTCATATCTCTGATATCAGGAGTCACCATCAAAGAGCCGATCAACGAATAGATGATCGATCAATAACTGCAGCTGGATTTATTTGTTCTCTCTATCAGATTCCCATCAACTCACAATCGACCCAAACACAGTATACAAATGGATCCACCTGTCTGACAGCAACAGAGAGGTGATGCGTTTGAATGCACAGCAGCCATATCCTGATCATCCAGAGAGATTTGACCGCCCTCAGCTGCTGTGCACAGACGGGCTGACTGGTCCTTGTTACTGGGAGGTTGAGTGGAGTGGATATGTTTCTATAGCAGTGAGCTACAAAGGAATCAAACGGAGAGGACACAGTGATGACTGCTTGTTTGGACTGAACAGTCAGTCCTGGAGCCTGGACTGCTCTTACTCTTACTCTGTCTTGCACAATAACACAGAAACCTTCATCCCCAAAGACGTTGTCTCCAACAGAGTAGCAGTGTATGTGGACCATCCTGCCGGCACGCTGTCCTTCTACAATATCTTCTTGGACTCTCTGATCCACCTCCACACCTTCAACACCACATTCACTGAACCTCTGTATCCTGGATTTGGAGTCTGGTCTCATAATTCTTCAGTGAGAATAATGAAGCCGGTCCATGTGCACTGCTCTCCTCCAACAGAGTAGCAGTGTATGTGGACCGTCCTGCTGGCACAGCAAACAACCTCTATCCTGGATTTGAAGCTTGGTTTCATAATTCTTCAGTCAGTCTGTGCTTAGTTCAGTATAAAACTCTGAGAAGCACTGCTAAATAGACCTTTCAGTCTGCATCT